ATTATTCAATCATCAGGTACATCAATTATTTACCCCCTGCTATGTAATTGTTTACCACCAAGGGGTAATTTTACCCCTGGTTGAGAATTACTGCTGTAGCTGAACAAATAAGAATTATGCTGTCTACCATGCACGTGGGAATAGGGGGGGGGCAGTATTCCAAATAAACTAACACATCAGGCACTGCAACACGATAAAGTAATGAGTAAACAGAGACAATAGTCGAAGCCATGAGCTCATTGATCTTGTAAGTGACCTATAGATATAGATCAGTACATGAGCTACAGCTGTGAAATTCCACATGTCCTGCTAGCAATGGTGAACTACGAAAAAACAAAGTAACTCGCAAATTAAAAAAAAAACACACAAAAAAACAGTGGCACATTAAGTACTTACGGCAAGGTTGTGGCGATCGGATATCAATCGTTGTTGTCTTTTGTGGCCTTAAAATATTAGTCACAATAGAAAATACAGTAATAAAATCTTATTAAAAACATAAATAATATATATTTTCACAATATTACACGGCCTTTCATTGTACACATATCTTTTAAGCATTGTGGAATCCTTGTTTCATGTGTACCATGCATACATGAAATACTGTATTATCACAGTTTTTTTGTTTTGTGTGTGTGTGTGAATTTTCAATCGGTATCAGCACACATTGTTATCAGTACTATGAGAGATTCTATTTTATTTAAAAATAGTGTATGAATACATTAGGCTAACCATTTTTTGTCCCTCAGTGGGTCAGCGATATGGACCTCCAACACTAAAATCCTGAATTCAGTTCCCTGCAGGGCCAAGGCTTAGATAGCCTATTGTGTGGTTCTGAGCTAAAACAAACAAATTGACAGTTTCATATTTTTTATGTTTCTATACTACCTTAATATGGGCGTAAACCTGAGACTATCGATATATTTATTGTTATTATTTTAATGAGTTAAAAAGAAAAAGAACGAGCGACTTTTTTATGAAGATAACATTTTGGGAATAAAACAGTAGTGGTTCTATTCGTCTCCTCTGTCAATCAAATGTTTTGTAATTGAATTTAAACATTAAAATTGTCAAGTTAGTAGTTATATATTTATACGTTTTTTTAGAATATTCGGCAATGCACACAAAATTTATTCAAGTTTTTGTACATTTTTTTTGTATTATAAGTATAAAATTGAAAACAAACAAACAAACATGAACAAGCTATTTTACTTTACTTTCATATTTTTTGATGCTATAAAATATCTGTGCTTACGAAGGTTAATTGGTTGGATATTATATATTCTATCATAATTATTCATATTAACACCGATCTTATAGTTAATATTTACCAAGGTTTCAGTGATTGTACAGTTCACTATTATAAACGCAATGCAAACAACGTGTTTGATTGACGTAGTTCTTTCTTTGGAGAGTTTTTTAAATTATCTAGTGAAAACAATTCAATGCCTAATCCGCTAAGTCACAGAATAGTTTATTTCCTCTTCTTCACGTTGCTATAAACTTGAAAAATATTATAATTTGTAGGCCTAAGTTTACAGTTATGATAACTGTACTACACAAGGTAAACAACAGTTAACTTACTTGTTCCAATCACACAGCGCGATAGCAAACACTAAAAACAACTCTATTGTGTCTCGATCGACTCCACTACTCTTGAGTCTTCATTTAGTTGTTTATATAACTAAGCTTTGTTCTAGAAAGTTCCAGGACTAACATACACTTAATGTCACATTAAATCACCAAAAACAAGCATCTTCCTCTAGCCGCGGACTTACAACGTTAGAAACCGGGTTTCGATACCCGTGGTTGGCAGAGCACAGATAGCCCATTGCGTAGCTTTGTGCTTAACTTCAAACAAACATACCTCTAGCCGAGAAATTGCAACATTAAAAATATATATCTTATAACAAACTGCTATTACTAAATGCAAAATGTGAACCCCGATGAAAACTGTTATATTGGTGGTTAAACTGAAGTGCACGGTGCACAGAAGCCTTTCTAGAAATGCTCATCGCCAACTTAGGTTAGGACACCAACAGAAAATTATTTTCATTAAGATTCAAACTATAAATTTCGTTATAGCCGTTGTTGTCATATCCTTGACGATAATGAATTACAAAGCCACTGAAAATGTGGTAAATAAGAACTAGTTACCTACATGATTTGTGTCAGAATGAACAATTGTGATATAATATAAAATATTTGCAATTTATTCTAAAACTGTTTCAGTATTTGCTTTGGTCATGGATGAAGGTCTATTTGTTTAGAGTTGCATCATGATAATTCTTTTTATGCGAGGGTCTTCTTGGACAATATAACAAACATATTACACAATAGAAAAAAGTTTTTGGAAATGTCAATAGATGGCAGAAGAGAGACATGACAAGCCATGGCGTAATGTTAATTTATTAAAAGCTAACCCTTCTCACTGATTGATACTATTTGTCAGAATTACTTTTCATAAGTTTTCCATGTTAAGATTACTACTTTGATAAATTTTATACTGTGATGAAAATCTTCGCAGAACAAAGAAAGTGAAGTTTTTATTCTTCATCCTGTGCATTTGTCACGTGATCAAACAGTGGGGCGTGGTTGAGAAGTGTTAAATCAGCTGACATTTCGGGTTTTCGTTTGAACTTCCGTAAAACTCTTATACTCTGGGTATCATATGTCTATTAGATACCGCTTCCAATAAAGTACAGTACGAAATACTTTGCGAAACCTAGTTCTTAGATAAGCTATTGTGGTTTAGATACCAAGGGTAGTCAATAGATTGAATTCAAGAACTAGAAATAGAACCACAAACGGAAGTTATCGTGCTAATAGGCAATGCGCATGTCGCTGATATTGTGCGAAAGCTATTATGTAATTGGAAGATGGCGTCATAGGAAAACACACAAAGAAGGATGATAAAGACGTGTTATTTATAGTCTGTCGTTTTACAGATGTTTGAAATGGGCTTTATTGATTCATTTTGCAATTGAACGTTAAAAAAGCCTGTTTAATTTCTGCAAATATGTTAGAACTCGAAGTTGTGCCAGAAAGATCCTTAGGAAATGATCAATGGGAACTCGTACTGGGTAAGAACTAAGATTAAAAATTTTAAAATAAAAATTTAGATTCTCTGTATCACTATTAGTATTAGCACTGTATTGAATTAAATTTACTTGACAATGTATTTTTGGGGTAAAGGATTCGAACTATTTTAAAATAAGTCTAGTAATAGTAGTACTACATTTGAGAAAGTTATATAGAACCCTGTGCTATAATTATTTTAATTTTATTCATCATACACTTGGGTTGACTTGTTTAAAGTCGTGAATCATTCATGATTTAGAAAAACAAAGCCTAATCGGCAGTGTTACACGTTAACATATGTGTTAACAGGCTTAGTGCATGAAAAACGTTATAATAGAGGTATGTTATATACATAAATGTGATTAAAATGGGAGAAGAGTGGATAATGATTGTTAATAACGTAACTTTAAACAAATGCACGTTTGATTTTACAGTTTAGTGTTTTTACCAAGTTTCCTAGTAGGTTGTTTGTGAATAAATACCACATTGCTATTAATTTTGGAGAGATTTACACTTAAAATTGACCATTTGTATATATGAAAAGCCAAAAAAAAAAACAAAAAAAAACTTACTACTATATAATTACTAATTCTTTGTTTAAGCTCCTTGATATGTAAATCAAGCCAATAATGTAGTGTAAGGTGCTTAATAAATGAAATACAATTATTCTTGGTAATTATAGTTCTAATATTATCACATGGTTTTATTTATAATTATATGGTTTTGATTAATATAAAGAAAGATAATAATATAGTATGGTCCAAAGTATTAAAACTAATATATCGTAATGTTTTTTTTTTCCAGTCAGTACAAGAGTAGCAACAATTGTCAGTAAAACTCTTTGAATAGACCTTCTCTAAACTCATTTTTGTTTGTGTTTATGGTGTATTATATGCAAAAATAAAACAAATGCTATATGTTTTCATCTTACTCTGTTTTAAAAAAGTTTTAATTCTAATAACTGTATGATATAAATATGAAATAATAATAATAATACTATTAATATTGAATAAATAAAAACATAGGCTTACATAAACATTTTATAAACATAAATGTACCTATATGCATAAACCCTAAAGTTTCTCAGTGAATTAGCCCTGCTATTGCTAATATCAAATTATAACCAAGTGAGTCTTGGCCTAAAATTTTCACTAGTAAAGGAAAGTACAACATAAAGTCATAGGGTTTATTATACTGGTAATATAAGACATTAAAAACCTTAATCCAACTTTCAGTCAGACAAGCTCTTTAGGAAATTCCAATGATGTTCAGTAATCAAAGATCAGGCCAATAATGCAGCTTGGGCACTAAAATCATAAATACACTGGATAACAATGTTAGAAAGTTAAAAAATAAAAGCTTATTTTTGCCTAACTTGTGAATTTTTGGTGTGAAGTGATAAGTCACTGTTAACAATAGTCTTTCTTGGCATTTATACTTAGAGTAAAAGACTGTTCACATTATATTCAAAGCAATTGATTCTGCTAATGTTTATTTTAAAGTATTTTTCTTCTGACTCGGTATCCTAATTTACTGCAGATTATAGTACAAAAGGTTTCAATGTTATTGTTAATTATAACCTTAGTTATATATGCATTACTTTCCCAGTCCAGAAACACTTGTGTATTAACTGAATATTTCCAAACTATTTTGTTCTGTAAGCATGAAAAAAGAGAAAATGGTACTTTTTAAAATTCATAAAACATTTTTGTATCATACAAAGGATATTTCAGGCTTAAGTTATTTTTTCAGAATACAGAATATACCAACACATTGTAAGTAGACTAATAATCAAAATTACATGTCTGCATGTTTGTGGGGAACAAACTAATTGGCTTATCTGTGTCCAATGTAGGTGTTGTTTGTGAATGTTCATATCTGTTAAGTTTATTGAGTATGTTGTATAACATTGATATACAGTCTTACCTTTAAAGTTGACTTTTAAGTTTCATTTTAATTTAGTATATTATGATTTTTGTTATAAAATATGGATACATTTGTATAATAATTTGGAAATTTCTAGAAGGCATGACTTAGAAGTAAGAGAGAGAAAGTCTGCTCCAATGTTGTTTATATTCCTTACCAACATGTCAGGTAACCTTGAGGAGATAAAAAAAAAGATAAGATCAATACATATGAAATTTTGCTTTGTTTTCACATAACCTACCCCATAATAATACATGTGGTATCAAAATATGGTAGTATTAAAAATTAAATTATGTACAATAGGTTTAATCAGTCAGGGTTAAAAGAAGTTTTCTACATGTGTATAATTTATGTTCAGATTAACAATAAACATATAATGGTGATTGATGTACAAGACCAGAAATCCAGGTTTCACTATAGATTTAGTTTATAGATATGGTGAATTCAATTCAATATTTTATTTCTTCTTCTTTTATTCCATCTTTATGATGTACTTGAACAGTAAAATACATTAGGAAGTCTATATAAAATTGAAACTCATCTGTCAGTGTGTGTAATGAAGTGATCAACATCTTCTAGATTCTAGGTTGCAGTTGATTGCAGTGTTCATTCTGTGTGCCACACTGTTTTTTGATTATTTTCTGTACTTGTGAGACTATTAGGTTATAAGATAAATTACATACCTGGACATTTGTTTTGGGTGCATAATTTGATTTGGTAAAACACACAGAACTTTGCAGTAATTACATTTTTTTGAATAGAAATTGAGTTTCCATTAGAATAATTTGAAGGGTTACAGTCGATTGTCATAGCTCAACTACAGGCTTTACATAAAAAAATGGATCCCTTTTGTCAAACGCTTTTATTATATCTGTCACATTGTTGTTATGAAAATGAACACAGAAGCATGGACAGCTGCAAAAACAATTTCTAAGAATATTTAGCTCTTATAGAAATAGTATATGGCCATAACTGCATACAGTTACAATGTGTGTATACAATATTAATGACCTACATACAGTCTGTTTTTATGAAAAGATGAAAGCTACTTATGTACTTAATCTAAAGCTTCATTTTATTTCGTTACCAAACTGTTAAGAATTGTTGTTGTATTTTTGTGGCAGTTCACTTTTTGAATTATTTAAATTTTAATATGTAAGTAAAATAGAGGTGAGCAATTAACTTAATTAATTGATATAATCAATTATGAGCTTTGATTACATTAATTAATACCATGTAAAATAATCAGTTAATCTAAATCATGATTAAAACAATGAATGCCACAGAAGGAATCAACTAATCAAAATTAGTGTTTCTGATTAATCCAATTATCCAAATAATTATTATATTACTATTGATTTTTCATTATTATTTTCAATTACTTTAAGTTTATAATTTCTTTTCAGGCACATTGTGCTACTATATTAAGAGTAAAAAAACACAAAAACTGACATTTATTTTTGCACAATAAAAGGTAATATCTTTATTATTAGTTACAGCTGACTAGTTTTGGTAACACAGTTACCATCATCAGGGCTAACATCTACTTAATACTTCAAGGTTGTTCAGCCTAATTGATCAGTGTTGTGACTTAAAAATAATCAACTAATCAAAATTAAGAGATTTCTTGAGCTAAGATAAAGAAATCTATAGGTGTTAAAATATCTGATCTATTATACATTCAAATAAAATAGATTTGAACTGCTGCAGAATATACATTTTATTCCATAGAATAATGTGAATAAGAGGAAATATAAAAATGTTTCATGAAAAATCTCCTTTGTACCCATAGCTAGATAGATGATTATAATATGTTATGATTAAAAACAATGTCCAGATATCATATATATATATATATATATAATTTTTTTTTGTAATTCAAAAAATATTGCATGCTTCCTAAACTGAGATTATTGAAAATTTATGCAGCAGACGTCAGTTATTAGTATTTGCATGTAAGTTTCTCTCAACTCCCCCTTCCAACTTTCCTGTGACATCAATTATTAAAATATCTATAGAAACCTGTGAACTTTCAGCACTGAGTTTGGAAGAAGTAAAGTTTATTTTGTTGCTTAAAATATGTCAAACAAAATCTTTAGACAGTTTGCACAGAGAAATGATTTTTGACTTTGGTCACTCATAAGAATACTGTTATAATGCTCACCAATAATAGATAGTTACAAAAAAAAATAATATGTGTATATATATATATATGGATTACCATATAAGAATGATATATATATATGTTTTTTGTAAATAACAACATTATATATAAAAGTATAGTTAGGTAGCATAGAAATGAGTTTCACATATGGATACTTGGATTTAATTATAACTACAAATAATCACAAGAGTGATGTGTAACTATAGCATTGATAGCTAGGCAAATGATGTAGAACATATATAACCTTAACTACAAAATTATCTATAGCTATAAATAAGGATAACTGAAATATTAATGAATAATTTTTTGATAAGTAAAAAAATTATTGAAAATTGTGGAAAACTATGTGAAACATTCATTTGAAGAGTGAGTAGAACTTACATTGTCAGATAACAATAATAATTAAGTGTATCTATAGCAACTAGAATAATTTTTATATCCATAATTAGGAGAAATCGATTAGCTGGTAACTGTGTACAATAAAGAATAAAAAATATAAGTTTCAAGCAGTTTGATAATATAAATAGCATCTTAACCCTTACTGTTTCTGTTGTATCTTAGCCAGTCTGAAAAGCCCTAGTTTTAGGTGAAAGGCCTCATTAGCTCTTGATGTAGTGGATATAGTGTGGTTGACATATCATACACTCTTCTTTACTTGCACTTAAAAAGTTGTTATTAATAACCACAACTCTGGTTAACAACCAAATCTATATTGTTATAAGTGTAAGAATACATTTCAACAACTATGGACAGCTGTAACACTGTTTTGTAACTTTAAACTATATATAGATTGTCATCAGAGTAATTTTCTTACAGTTTTGACAATTCTGAAAGCATTTGAGTAAAGCTATGTTAAGTAACATAATTATAACATAGGCAAAAACACCTTCCAATTTTTTCTTTGATAAAAAG